TGAAGTTAGCCATCCCCCTCAAAATGAATGTCAAATGTTTTCTCTGTTATAAGGAGGATGATTCATAGTGGAGTAGGGAGGGGGAGTATGGGAAGAATAGATGGACTTCAGATAGGACAGAGAGGTAGGAGGATAAGGGAGGAGACATGGGGTTAGAAATGATGGTGGAATGTGATGGACATTATTATCCAAAGTTCATGTATGAAGACACTTATTGGTGTGAATATACTTTGTATACAGAGATATGAAAAATTGTGCTGTATGTGTGTAATAAGAATTGTAATGCATTCTGCTGTTAAATATAAACAAAAAATAAATAAATAAAATCAGGTTTAGATTTAAAAAAAAAAAACCTGCTTCTTCCATGTGAAAGCCCTGCCTCTGTACCCATCAATAGTTCCTTGGCATAGCATGTTTGGCAACATAAAATGGCAATTCTTACACAATGTAAAATTGTTCTCTCTTTGGTTTCCATTTTTCTTTGGACAATGTACCCTGTCAGAGATTGACTGTCTAGATGTTAGTAACCATTCTTTAACTTTTACTCAACTAGGGATGTTTTGACCCATTCCCTCTTCTACTTATGATTTTAGATTTCATGACGTTTGTTTATGGTTTTGAATCAAAGCAACAGTGACTTATGATTAATATGGTTTTGGACTATAAAATGTGTAATCAAACTCCTGGAGGGGGATCAAAAGGTGTAGACTTGCAGCCTGTCCCTCAGCCCATCAGCTGGTGGATCTGGACCCCCAACTGGTAATAAAGTTCCCGTCTCCTACTCTAATAACACAAACAAACAAACAAAAACACCACACTGTTAGATGGATGGGTTTATGGATTTATTTTATAAAGAAGAACAAATGTCTGATTCACTACACAACCATATAATTTCATTTAAGAAGTATCTTGTGAGCATTTGAGTGTCTGAATATAGCTGTTCCTTGGTATCTGGAGACAGGGATTGTTTCCAGGACTCTTGGTATACCAAAATTCATAGATGTTCAATTCCCTGATATAAAATGCTAAAACATTTGCATTTAACCTTTGCACTTCAGTCTTTATACTGTAAATCATCTCTATATTAGATGATTTACAGTAATACAATGTAATACTATATAAATAATTTTTTGCTGTATTGTTTAGGGAAAGAATATAAGTCTTATATGTTCGGCACAAAAGTTACCATCATAAGCCTAAATACATAGAACATATCAATAACAACTTTTTACCAAAAAAAATATTTTCAATGAGCTTCTGGTTGAATACACAGATGTGGAAACCATAGACGTGGAACCTCATGGATACCTAGGGCCAACCATGCACAAAAGAAGAACATTGAAGTAAAGGGATAGGTATATAGACAGATTCTGACTTATGATTTTTTGACTTTGTGATGATGTGGAAACAATAAACTTTCAGTGGAAACCATACTTTGAATTTTGATCTCTTCCCGGGTTAGTGATATTCAGTATCGGTCTGATGCTTCAGATGCTGGGCAGTGGCAGTGAACCACATCTCCAAGAAGCCAAATGATCATGAGGGTAAACAGTGAATACTCTACATTGTACCATGTTGCTCACTGTGATGTTGGGTAGATTAAGTATATTAAATGCATTTTTAGCCTAACCATATTTTGAACTTATGATGGATTTATCAGCACATAACCCTATTTTTAGTTGAGAAGCATTATGTGAATTCCATCAGCAAGATTTGTTACTTCTGTAAGTTTGGGTCATATAACTTTTCTTAGCTTCAACTTTTTCAATAGGAAAATTGGGATGATAGATCAGCATTCAATTCATTATCTATATGAAAATCAAATCAAATAATATGTAATTTGAAAATTATCATCTATCATGCCAATTTAAACACTTCTGGGATTAACCTAGATGAAATAAAACATGAACAGAGGTGTAATGATTTTCATTTTTGATATTGCATTTATCAGGGGAGACAATAAAACTTTTTGTCCTGTTTTCTGAGAACCAGAAATTGTAATGGATGGGTTCTAGGTCTGAGCACTGGAATGCTTGTGATCTAGTTCTGCTTTTGTCATTTGTTGAATTCATAATTTAGGACAAATATGTTGTATATTCTTTGCTAATGGTTTGCTTCTGAAATGTCCCACAAAACCTCATTTGTTGAAAGAATAGTCTCCAATTCAGCAGAGTTCAGAGGTGGGACTTTTAGGCAATGACTGGGTCATGAGGGCTCTGAGCTCATAGTGTATTAAACCATCAAACCCATTGACAAGCTGGATAGACTACAGGGATGTACCTATTTGGAAGAAGCAAATCATTGGAGGCATGCTCTGGAAGGGTTTGCTTTCTCCCCAGCCCCTTCCCCAGCACTCCCCAATCTGTGTTTCCTGGCTCCCATGCGCTGAGAAGCTTTCTTCCACTATGCCCTTCCACCGTGACGTTTTTGCCTTGGAGATAGTTGACCCTAAACTAAATCCTTTGAAACTGTGAGCCAAAATAAATTTTTCCTATTCTAAGTTGTTCTTTTCAGATAATTTGATCACAGTACTGAAAAACGCACTTACACACCTGACTTTTATCATATTTAAAATGGTGGAGATTATTGCGCTCCTTTTTATGACATTTAGGTGGGCATTCCTTTAAACCTTCTCCATAGTTCTGAGTGATTGCCTGTCTCTTTCACAAATATGTATACAGTGAGTTAATATGCTTGGTCTATGTCCTTTAGTGGGGACCCTTATAGGAAAAGAGATTTTAAAATATTAATATCAAGTTCTTAATTACCAAACTTAATATTCTTTTTTTTTCTAAATTTTACTTTCTTTTTTTAACCTTTATTTTATTTGTTTTATTTTTTTATGTGGTGCCAGGGATTGAACCTAGTGCCTCATGCATGCTAGGCAAGCGCTCTACCACTGAGCCACAACCCTGGCCCCCAACTTAATATTCTTAATGGAAGAAATGCTAAATAATGTTTGTAAGGTTTTTCTCCTAAATGTATTTGACCTTGATTTTTCTTTGTTATTGAATCAGTGTTTTCATTGTTCAGTGAAAATGTTACTGTTCAATGAAAATGTTATTGTTTTCCCTAGAAAGAATCATGTTTGCTCTGAAGTTCAGTAGCTTCACATTTTTGACATATTTATTACAAAGTAACATGCTTACAACTCTTCCAAATAAATGAGAAAATTGCACATGTAAGACACTTTTATTGTTGACAGGGTTGAAATTTATCAGTCAGTAATTTACTTGACAGCATATTCCCATCTATCTTTATTACATATTAAGCCTTGATGTAATTTTTTTTCAGTAGCAGAGATTAAACCTAGGGGTTCTGAACCACTGCACCACATTCCTAATCCTTTTATTTTTTATGTTGAGACAGGGTCTTACTAAGTTGTTTAGGGTCTCACTAAGTTGCTGAGATTGGTTTCCAACTTGCAGTCCTCTTGTCAGCCTCCCAAGTCAATTTATTTATTTTTTTTTTCATTTTTTTTTTCTCCCAAGTCAATTTAATCTTTATTTAAGAAGCAGTGATAAAGATAGAGATAGAAATAAATACTATACAGGGCCATTACATTTAAAACTTCCATTTTGGTAAGTAAGAGAAATAGAGTAATATTACTTACTTCACTCTTGAAATAGTTTAAGTTATTGAGCTAGTAAGTATGATAATCATTGATTAGAACTTTTTTTCTCTTTGTCACTTTTTGAGAATTTATTGCTTATTAACAGGCAATAAAAGCAAGGAGAATAAATTCTGTCTATATCACTTTTTTATCTTAGTAAAAAGTCTATTTACAATTAAAATCTGGATAAAATTTTTTTTGTAAGTTTGATTGGTACTTTTTAATTTTTCATTAAAAAACAACATCCTAGTCAACATACTAATATAATATATGGAAAACTTTACATTTTTTAACATTTTCTTTAAATATAATTGCTATTACCAGTTTGAGTGTCAACCTCTCTTCTGTGTATACTATTTATAAATGTGTAACTTTGGCTGATGTATATGGGTATATATTCTGGGTATAGTATCCTTCAACTTGTATTTTTAAGATATATCTTTCAGATCTTTGGAAGAAGAGTATTTACTTTTATGCTGCAAATTATTCCGTAGTACAGGTGTATTTTAGCTTATTTTTCTATTCCCCTCTTGACAGACATTTAGGTTGTTTGAACTTTTATTTTGCCAACAATCTTTATATTATTTTCTTTATATTTTATTTACATTATTTAAGTGATTTTGTATATAACCTTGTATTTAACCTTGAATACTTTCCAGTATGAGTTAACTAATGTTTTAATTTGTGAAAGTTATTTATAAATTCTAAATGTTATTTTCTTTTCCACATAATGCACACAATTTTTTTTAAATCTATTGCTTAGCATTGAGCTTTGTTGTATTACATTGGTTGTTGTTCGACTATTTAAACATTTTTTATGTAGTCAAAGTTATCATTTCTCTTTGTCATCTATTTCTTGAATTTTGCATAAGGTCTTTCTTTGCCATGGATTTTTTATTTCCCTGTATGTATAAATAATCAAATGTTTAGGACTATCAGGTACCTTTCAAATAGCTGCTTAGCCTATACTCCTGCATTGCTCTATATCCACAGAGGTCCCAGAAGTTTTCTATTAAAACTGAGAAAGTTTATTTCTCGTGCTTTAAAGACAATATGGCTATAATTTTTGACATAATCATTTTTGCATGATGTTTTTCAAATGCAGCTATCATAAGGTAAACATTGAATATTATCAGGTGTGTTCAGCCTCATGCATGAATTGAATAATTTGTTTAGATCATTGTAAAAGTGCTATAGCTTCGCACCTACCTTGCTTTCTGAGATATTAGCCAAAGTGTTTTTTATCTGCATCTTTTCTTAACTCCACTATACAATTTAAATTTCATACAATTCATAGGCAGAAAATTATGTTAACTCTAATTCCTTAATAAAATATCTTAGAGGGGAGATGAAAAATTTATTCATCTAAACTTGTTTTTTTCTTCAGTTTTGTCAAAACAGCATGCTTCACAAGTCCTGGTTCGGAGACGCCGTGCAAACTCTTTACTAGAAGAAACCAAAAAGGGCAATCTTGAAAGAGAATGCATTGAAGAACTATGTAACAAAGAAGAAGCAAGGGAAGTCTTTGAAAACAATCCGGAAACAGTAAGAATTCATAGCCACTATCACACCTTGTCACAGAGTTGTGCTAAGCAATTCAGGGAGAAAATTTGTATTTTATTCTCTAAATAAAATACAAAATAGGGCAGGGGATGTGGCTCCGTGGTCCAGTGCCCCTGAATTCAATCCCCGGTCCCAAAAAGAAAAAGAAAAAGAAAAAGAAAAGAGATCACACACATAACCACTTCCATTTCAGGAGAAAGTACATTTAAAGGAAGGTGGGCTTGTTAGGAAGACATTACTGCCATAACAATATCTTCCGACGAATTCACTTATACCTCATTATCAGCAAATAGTATTGACCTCCTAGTTTGTAAATATTGTCTCCTAACCAGAATTTGGTAGTATACAGGGTAGAGGAGAGGATGTCTCAAGTACATATACATTGTGTGTATGTTATTATTACTCCACTTCATTGAATCTCTCCATTTAATATTAACCAGGCTCTAGAAACAAGGCCATTTAATGCAGAGCATTTTCACAGTATTTTATATGCTGAGTATACTTTACTTTATTCTACAAGCCCTTGGGAAGTTTCCTGAACCCACTCCTTATCAGTTATAATCTTCAGCATATCAAACCTTACATGTCAGTCCACAAAAATAAAACCAGAAAGACCCTTAAATATCATATAGGACCCCCAGGCCTTATTGTTAGTCCCTAATTCTTTTAGGAGAAGAAGTTCTTTAGCATGTCCTGTGGGTAACCCATGTGTAAATAGTGCTTTTAAGAAGCAGAGTGAGAGAGCTCCAATCTGATAACCTTCAGGTCAACCTCCATGTGATGTTTCTCCTGAGATGAAGGATACAGCCTAGAGCAAAAGAGAAAGAAAGCATGAACAAAGTACCTCTGGAACCTCTGCAGTGGCTCTCAGTGCCCTGAAAATAGAGGAGTAAGAATGAGCAGGAATCTTGTCTGTAGTTAGAGAATCTGTCTAAGACTGTAGCAACTTGTGTTCTCTTGGGTTACTCTTGAATCTTTTTTTGCCTTCACCTATTCTAATAAGTTCACAGAGAATACTTCCCAAAGATTATTTTTTAATCTCTTTGGAATTGAATCCAAATATTTCTCTCTCTGTTGTGTTGCTTTTATGGGTAAAGAATTGACAAGAAAAAAAATATTTTATCCCATGCAATGTAGTAGAATACATTATTGTGTAGAATTTTACATTTACATTACATAGTTTATATTTCCATAACAAAAAAAAGGAAAGTGTGCACACTCTAAATTATTATAAATTTTCATAATAAAAATAATATAGTATATTTAAACAAACACATCCTTTTTTATTTTAAAAATTTTAAATATATAGCAAAGTAGAAAGAAAAATAAAATGAACTCCATAATTATACTCACCTCCCCTTCAACAGCTACCCATAATCTTCACTTTTATTTTCCTGTTCTGTATCACACCTACTCTAGTTTTTATTTTGTTTTTCTGGACTACTTTAAAACATGCCCAAAATATATTATTAATACATACTTGACTTTGTATTTATAACATTGTAGACATATTCTTAGAACTTAGCCTCTAAGTAGCAAAAGTGAGGTAGAAGATCACAGGGAGAAGAAGAAAGATGGTGCAGAAGGAACAATCATTTAGGTGCTTCTTCATCTTCACTAATTCTAAAACTGTTTTCATTGACAGAAGAGAAAGTGATGGCAGAGGAGTAAGGCAGAAATGGGAGAAATGAAAGGGTGGGGGGAAGCATGTGTTACTGTTTATCATTTCCTGCCCTGTGCCACCCTTAATGCTCTTAGTTCACATTTACCCTGATGCCTCCTCACCATCCCTAGCATATTCCTTTCACCATCATTTCATCACTCATTGAACCCATTTCTTGCTACTTCCAAGCTTTTCTGGAGAAAACAATACTGTTGTTTGAATTACTCAGTATGAAATCCTTTCCTTATAAACCAGTAGACATGTGTTATATGATTTATATTTGAGAGGAGGAAGCAGTGAGAACTTTATACTGCATAAAGATATGTTTAGTACTTATTAAGCTGGAACACTGAATATGTCTTTGTGCAAGAATTCTGGTTTTGCGTAAGTATTCTTATGCTGTTAATGCTGTCTGTCTGATATATTATGACCTGAAAATGCTTTTTTGAACCAGCGTGGGAAATTTACTATCAGAAATTTTAAACATTTTTCCCCCTTTCATAATATGCATTCCTTAGTCCAAATTACTGATTTACAGACTATGTTTTGGTACATAGCCAATTTATATGTAAGATATTACATGCACAACAAATGCTATATGGTAATTACTTTAGTTCACTCCAAATATTCCACCCATATTCAACATTGAATCTGGTGTGAGTAATCATCATGATATAAAATGTATCAAATGGGCACTTAATCATTATGGAAAATTAAAAAGATTTACAAAAAGGGGACATATGTGATTATATTTGTCATCTTAAACAGAACCTGCTTTTAGACTGGAAACTTTTGAAACATGATTTAATTGATCAGTGGTCCTTTATTTCTAGTCATATTGTTGGCTTAAATTATCTACTGTTTGTATATTTTACTGCAAAAATAAATTTAAAATGTGAAAATTAAATCTAAATTATTTCTGTCTTTAACATGAAAAATATTATGACATTTAAATTTTAATTCTATAATGAAATTTAGGCTTGCTAATATACATATTTTTTTCTTTTATTCTAGGATTATTTCTATCCGAAGTACTTAGGTAAGTTCAAAGAATCTTGATCTTATAATCTTAGGCATAGAAGGGAACATAAATATATTCATGTTTAATTCTCCGCCTCTATATAGCACCATATATAATTTCATTGTCTTTCAAAGTAAAATATTTGCTGTCCTTTTATTTAAAGACATGGAAACAAATTTGGAATGATTCTTGAATTACCATAGGGCATTCTGACTTCATCTTTTTCAATCTTGTATCTTTCTCATAGAGTCTTTGGGCTGAGTTGTATTTAGGTACCCAGACATTCTCTTTTATTTTATTTTATTTTTTTGTACTGAGGATTGAATCAGGGACACTCAAATACTGAGCCACATCCCAAGCCCTTGTATTTGGTCTCACTGAGTTGCTTAATACCTTGCTAAATTGCAGAAGCTGGCTTGAACTCAGTGATCCTCCTGCCTCAGCCTCCTGAGCCTCTAGGATTACAGGCATGCCCCACCATGTCTGGCCCCAGACATTCTCTATAGATGCCCGAGAAATTCTCTATAGGTGTGAGTTTCATGGGTTATCTTTCAATGAAAGGAAAGATCTCTAAATTGTTCAGACTTTATTGAATAAATAATTACCATTTAGACATTTGTAGAGATTACTAATATCTTCTCTCTTTGTATCACCATTTCAGTCCTTCCTTCAGTATCCTTTCTAGGTTCTATTTTGGGCTATGACTCTGGGCTCTCAAGGAATGAGATAATATTTCCATACTCATATAGATTAAATGATTTTAACTAAATGCCAATGAAAGAAAACAACATTCCAATTTTATTAAAGCAAATATAGAAGTATTTTACATAAATAGTACTAGGGTAGTTGTCAGCATTTCCAATCATAATGGAATATAATTTTTGCATCTCTTGCTGATTTCATGGTTCCAGAACAGAGGTATTCTTTCTTTCCCCCTTTAGGCTTAGAATCTTCTTCATGTATGCGCTTTCACCATTCTCGTCACAGCCAATAGGAAATGAAAAGTAAATTATTGGAAAAAAATATAAATGGGCTCTGATACACATTAATAACTATCCAGTTAAGAATTTTTAATATAAAGTTTCAAATAATAATGTCTATTAAACTCATAGTTCTCTTGAAATTGAATAATTTAATTATTGTTTGGGGCTTTATGTTTGTTTGTTTGTTTGTTTTTGTGTTGTCTTGTTCTGAGTACCCAGGCAAAAATTCCAAGGTAGAGGAACATTTACACCTTTCCTCTTTTCCTAGGGAGCCTGATGTTGAAAGTATGTTTAGAACTTACATTTGTCCTTCAGGACAATTAACAAACTAAGAGTCCAAGACCCTGGATAGAAGTCCTTTTAGTAGAGCCAGGAATTCTCCCATAGCTCTGGAAATATTTACTCCTCCATTTTTTGAAGTGCACATGATGGTCAGCATCTTATGTTTGTGGCATATTTTGAGCTCAAAAGACTCAACAATAACATACTACATCTTAGTTCACCCTGTTACCAACACTAAAACATCAATGCAGTAGTATCTTTACTTTGAACACTTAAAGATCTTAAACTAGCTTCTATGAGATACAGTTTTTCTCATTTGTCAGCTAGCTAGAAACAATTTACTTAATAGGTTTGCAGGAAAATGAAAAGAGAATGTTTTCAAAGCACTTAGTAGAATGTTTGTTATGCTAGTACTCTTCATTTTCCCCCTGACTTTTCTATTCCAATTTTCTTTGACTTGCTTCTTTTCCCTTCTCTAATATCAAACTTCAACAATTCCCATCAAATTTGGAAAAGTGCCATGGTAAAAATTAATTGAGGTGATGTTATTTGTGTCAATATATATGAAAATACAAGATTTTCTAAAACCTTTTGCTACTGTATCTTTTTAAAAAAATATTTTATTAGTTGTTGATGGACCTTTATTTATTTATTTATTTATTTCTGGTGGGGCTGAGACTCAAACCCAATGCCTCACACATGCCAGGCAAGTGCTCTATCACTGAGCCACAAACTCAGCCCCTTGCTACTGTATCTTAAAAGGATAATGGAATATAGGTGTGCATCCATGAAAAAGATCTCCTCCCTTGAAAATTATATTAAATTCCTTACTTTCTAAACAAAAACCAAGGATATGTGCTATTGAAAAGAAAGACTATCAAGACTGTTTGAACTTCTCAATTTTAGATAGGAATTTAAATATTTTATCATAAAAAGAGACAATATTTGATTATAAAAATTTACAGACTTCAACAAAGAAGCATCTGAATTGATCATAATATGGAGAAAATGCCCCTAATAGATGTTTGTAAAACATTTCATCCAATAGTAACAGAATACGCATTCTTCTCATCAGCACATTGGATATTCTTCTAGGAAAGCTAACTTTGTTAGGTCACAAATTATGTCTTAATAATTAAAAAAAAGAAATCATATCGTGTATCTTCTCAAACCACAATAGATTAAAACTACAAATCAACAACAATAAAAATAATGTAAAATATGTGAATACATGGAAATTTAACAGTTTATTCCTAATGACCAATGGTTAATGGAATAAATTAAGGGAAAAATCTCAAGCACATACATCAAAAAGCTAGAAAGATCTCAAATAGACAATCTAACAATACACCACAAAGACTTAAACCCAACGTTATTAGAAGGAAAGAAATAATAAAGATCAGAGCAGAAATAAACAAAATCAAGACTAAAAAAATAACACAAATGATCAACAAAACAGAGTTGTTTTGAAAATATAAAAAAAAAAAATCAACAAACCTGAACCTAGACTAACCAAAATAAAAAGAGAGGACCCAAATAAATAAAATCAGAGACGAAAAAAAAACTATTGATATCACAGAAATACAAAGGATCCTAAAAACTACTATAAACACTGATATGCCAAAATACTGGAAAACTAGGTGTGAGGATGTAACTCATTGGTAAAGCTCTTGCCTAGCATATGCAGAGACCTCCAGGAGTGCCAAAGAAACAAAAACCAAACCAAACAAAAAACAAAACAAAGCTGAAAAATAAACTAGAAAAAAATAAATTCATAAATATGTACAACTTAACTAAAATCAGACACTAGTATGGCAATTTGTAAATCAATGGATGTGTAACTGATGTGAATCTGCAATCTGTGTATGGGGTGAAGGTGGGAGTTCATAACCCACTTGAATCAAAGTGTGGAATATGATATGTCAAGAAATTTGTAATGTTTTGAACAACCCACAATAAAAAATTTAAATAAATAAATAAATAAATAAATAAATAAAAAATCTAAAAACAAATGGAAAATCTAATGTGTAGTGAGATTAAAGCAGTAATTAAAAAATCTTTCGATAAAAATAAATGCCCAGAAACTGATGGCTTTATAACTGAATTCTACAAAACATTTAGGGTAGAATTACTCCAAACTCTACTTAAACTATTCCAAAAATATTGAAATGGAAGGAACTCTGCCAAACTCATTTTGTAAGGCCAGCATTACCCTTATTCTAAAACCAGAAAAGGATACAACAAGAAAATATAACTACAGATCCATATCTCTTATGAAAAAAGATGAAAAAATTCTCAATAAAATGTTGAAATTGCAAACCAAGTTCAAGAGAATATCAAAAAGGCCATGTACCATGATCAGGTGGGATTCATCCCAGGGATGGAAGGTGGCTCAGTATACATGACTCAATTTATGTGAAACAGCATATCAACAGAATTAAGGACAAAAAAGTGATCATTTCAATAGATCCAGAAAAGGCATTTAATGAGATCCAACAACCTACATGATAAAAACTTTCAACATATTAGCTATAGAAGGAACATACCCCAAAATAATAAAGGACAATATCACACTAAATGGGAAAAAAATCAAAGTGTTTCCTCTAAAATCAGAAACAGGTCAAGAATGTCCACTTTCATATTCTTATTTAATACGTTACTGGCAATCTTGGCAAGAGCAATTAGGCAATTAGACTTAAATTCCATAAAGGGCACCAAAAACACCAAGTGGAGGAATTAGTCTTATTCTTCTTTAGCACAATTGTTTAACTATTGAGTGAAACAACATATGATTTATTTCAAAATGACTAGAAGAGTATGAAGTTTCCAATACTTAGAAATGATTAATGGCTGAAGAAACAAACAAAAAAAGTCTCTTAAGAGAAAAAGAAATAAAATCCATCCAGATTGAAACAGTGAAGCGAAATTATCCACTTTTGGATATGATATAGAAAAATATAAATACTCCATAAAGACTGATAGAACTTATAAACAAATTCAGTAAAGTAGCAGTATACAAAATCAACATCCAAAAAAACAGTCGCATTTCTATACTCAAATAATGAGCATTCTGAAAAAGAAATTAAGAAAACAATCCAAAACATAATGGATATAAAAATTTAGGAATAAATTTTACCAAGGAAGTGAAAATCTCTACAATGAAAACTATAACTCTGATGAAAGAAATCATGAAGTACAGACATGAAAAGAGAATGTATCCATGATCTTGTATTAGAAGAATTAACATTGTTAAAATGACCATACCACCCAAAGTGATCTATAGAACCAATGTAATTCCATCAAAAAATGTCAACTTTCCTCAGAGAAATTGGAAAAAAAAATCCTAAAATTTATATGAGGCTACAAAAGATCCAAAATAGCTAAAAAGATCCTGACTTAAAAAAAAAATCTGGAAGCATAACAATACCTGACTTCAAAACATACCTCAAAGCTGTAAGTACTGCAGCAGCATGGTAGTGGCATAGAAGAGAACAGAAAACCCAGATATTAATACAGAGAACTGATTTTTGACAAAAAGACCAAGAGCATATAATAGAGAAAAGACAGTCACTTCAAAAAGTGTCATTGGCAAAGTTGGATATGCGTATGCAGAGAAATGAAACTAGATCTCTTCCTGTCATCATACACACACACACACACACACACACACACAAAAACCCTCAAAATACGTGAAATCCCTAAATCTTAAACCTGAACCTATGACATCATTGCCAGAAAAAAAGTGGGGGAAAC